CAAGTGCTTCAACAACCAAAATCTCTTCTTTGAAAGTGCTATGACAAGATTGTAATTTGCTGCCGACAATTATCCACGCGTCTGGTTTATGACAAGATTGTAATTTGCTGCCGACAATTATCAACAACCTAAAGTCAAGAGTTTCAATAGCCAAAACATCTTTTTTCATAGGTTTATGAGTATATATACTTTTTTAAGAATTAAGTACGCGTAAGGTTATATCTTTCAACAGTTTAAAAGCAAAAGTAAAAGATTGTCACCAATTTTTTTATTATTAATTGTCTCTAAGACTCTCACAATTAGTACTTAACGTTGACATCCTATTGTGTATGATAATTGCCTAATGGAAATGAAAACGCAGACCAAGCTCCAAAATGTCAGTGCAAGCAAACCGATAGGATCCAATTTCAAGTATAAATAAAATGATATTGTATATGGAAACTTGTTGACATCTCTGCCTGCGATGCATCGATCTAGTACACTTGAGAGGATATCCAACCGCAAAAGTCAGGAAACTAGTAAAAGGGCCCAAGTGACTTGACTTGTCAGACTAAAACATCGATATTTTAGTCGAAATGAGGAAAATTTTTCAAAGCTGAAAGTAACAAGAAGGAACTTGGATGTGATTTGTTGGCTTTTCGTTTCTTTATTTTGTTACACGTATAGTTGTCCTGTGCAACATGCTTTTGACTTACTTCATGCAGGTAAATCTCAAAAATACCCAAATCCCCACATTTAGGTGGAAGTTTCCTTTGTAGTACTGCAGACACATTTTTCTCCATAACTACTCTCTCATCTCCCTTTAGTTTCTTCCTATTGACACATAAATCCTTAAAAAATCTAGCATATCTTGGCACTTGCTTGATTGCATCTAATAGAGAAATGTTTATTTCGATCTTTTTGAACATCTCCAAGATCTCATTCTCCTTGTCTGATTTACTTGGTTTCTCCAACCTGCAAGGAAAAGGGGGAATATTAGATCTATTCTTAATGATAAAGTCAGAATTTACCTCCTTAGGGCTTATATTTGCTCCTCCTCCTTCTTTTTCAAGTTCTTTCTCAATGTGCTCTTCACTTTTATCCTTGGGAATCACTGACTTAGGTCCTTCAACTTTCTTCCCACTCTTCAGAGTCATAGTACTTACATTCTTTGGGTTAGTTTCAGATTGAGATGGTGACTTTCCAAAAACGTGAGATTCCAGGCGGTTAATTGCAGTTGCCATTTGACTCACTTGGTTTTCAGATTTTGCATGCATGACCTCGTGTCTTGTTGAAATTGAGCAGCATTTGCAGCAAAACTTCTGACCATATCTTCTAAGGAGCTTCCTGAATTAGAAAATGAAGGTTGAGATTTTGACTGGTATTGTGGTTGGAACTCTTGCTGTCTATTTTAATCAAAATTTTGCTATCGGTTCCCGCCATAACTCAAGTTCGGGTGGTCCCACTAACCAGGATTATAGGTGTTAGAGTATGGATCATATTGCCTCTATGGCGCGAGCATTTTGCTAGCCATGCTGACTTGTTCAGCATTTTTCTCTTGAATCATTTGGCACATATCAGTGGAGTGTCCTATATTAGTACAGATTCCGCACACCTTGGCTTGCTGTGCATTTTCTACAGCCAATTGTCGAACAAAAGAGGTCAGTTCAGATAATTATTGTTGAAATAAGGAAATTTCAACCTCATTCACTCGACGAGTAGGAAGATTTTCTCGAGAGCCAAATTGTTGTGAATTTTCTGCCATTCTCTCAATCAATTCCCATGCCTCCCCAGGAGTTTTGTTCACCAGTGCTCTACCACTCGCGACGTCAATAATATTCCTGTCAGATAAGTAAAGACTCTCGTAAAAATATTGAATTAATAATTGCTCATTTATCTGATGTTGCAGGCATTTCGTGCATAATTTGTTGAATCTCTCCCAGTAGTCATACAAGGTCTTCCCCGATTGCTACTTAACACCACATATTTCCTTTCTCAAACTTGCAGCTCGAAAGACGGAAAAATACTTCTCTAAGAACTTTTTTTTCAATTGCGCCCAAGTTGTGATACTACCTGCTAGCAGATAGCATAGCCAATCTTTTGCCAAGTCCTTTAGAGAAAAGAGAAATGCCCTTAACTTTATTTGTTTTTCCGTAATCCCAGGGGGCTTCGTATTCGAGCATGCCACATCAAATTATTGCAGATGCTTGTGGGGCTCTTCACCTGAAAGACCATAGAAAGAAGGTAAGAGGTGAATTAGTCCAGATTTTAATTCAAAATGAGTATTTTCATTTAAGTGCGGGAAAGTAATGCGTAGTGACTCTGAGTTAAATCAGGAGCAACCAACTCCTTTAATGTCCAATTGTTGGCCATGGTGATTTCCTCTTTTTCAGAATCACTCGAATGATCACTTGAAGATTCCTCTAAGGATGCAACGAATGGCTGTTCCTCTCTTTGTTCCCTGGTCTCCTTCCTTAACCTACATGTTGTCTTCTCTATTTCAGGAATATACACCAAATTTCCTATGCGAGAAGAACGAGGCATAAACAACCAAAAATACCAAGAAACAAAATAACACGAAATAAGGTAAACTCAGAAAGAAACAAATAAACCAACGCCAGTCCTCTACAACGGCGTAAAAAATTGACAGGTTGTCGAGTGTGTGCAATAATAATTACCTACTCAAGAAAATATAATTTTTGTGTATAGTGGTAAGTAGAGTCGAATCCACAGAGGTTGGGAAAAATTTGTTTCTTCTAAAGTATGGAGAGCGGGGGATTTTTATAAAATCAGGAATAATTAAACAACTCAAACAGAGATAAAAATAAATAAATAATCCAATTAATAAAAATAATTCATGAAAGTAAGCAGGAATTAAACTAATGGTAGACAATCTCTAGTCAAAGATATAACCTCGCAGACACAGTCCATTTATTCGATTATTGATGCATAGATGGTTTGCTCAATTCATTAACAGGTTAGTTATAGTTGTCAATAAACTCTGACGACCAACTTTTTCTTAGTTTATTAATGACCAAGGTACGACCATTAATCACCCTAACCGGGAAATAACCCTAAGTACGACTATAAGATTTAATTTTTCAATTGCATTAAGAATTAGAAAAGCATAACCTTAATTAATAACACACTAAGAGGGTTATTTAAATTAAATTGTATGTTTTCCTGACGTGCGTAAACGCTAGTTACTACTAATATTAATCGACTAAACAATTACGGATTTAGTTAATTAATTTAGCAATATATTATTAGGTCACTTTAAACATCGGGCCCTAGATATTCAGTTAACGAAATAATCTCTAGAAATTAAAATAGAGAATGCACAAATATCAATAAATTGAAGGAATGAGTTGAGATTAATTCGATCTCACAGATATTCGAAACTGCGTCGTTGAATTGATCTCTGACTAGATTAGGAACTTAGCCACGCCTCATGGAGAAGTTCTCAGGCCAACAAGTGGAATTCATGAACATTAAATCGTGTGCCCCCCACGATGTTTTATGTTTCATGCAAAAAGTAAAGGAATGAAGAGAAAATTATGCTCCTATCTTGCGGCCTCTAGAAGGACGAAAAAGAGACTCTCTAATCTCCATAATGACTAGAATATAGTCTAGTCAGTCTCATCTCGAATAAGGAAAAGAAAACAAAGATAAAACAACTACCGAATGTTCCTTGTTTCTTGTTTCCTAATGTTAGTAAACTACCTAATACTAGTAAACTACTAGTCAGCAAAAGGAAAGGAATAAGTTGTAGCATAACTTGGAGCTAGATTTGTAAATATTCTAGAAGCTTCCCACGTGCAAAGCATTTTCTCAAGAAAGTCTCCCTTTTTAGCACTTTTTTGCTTCGCTTCCTGTAATTAGGTTCAAATACCAAATATAAGTATACTTCAACAATTAAAATAATATTTGACAAGGATAAAGAGGGAAATTAACTATAAAATTATTAACAAATTACTCCCTATCATCAACAGCTCTCTGCAGTCAAGAATAATAGGTGAAAGTTCATGAGAAATAAGGTTATTTGACTTACATAAGGAGATAATAATCAAAGAGTCCATCTCCACTTCAAGAGAGGGGATGTCGAGGTTTTTTGCAAGTTGTAAGCCATCTCTAAGAGCCCAATATTTTGCAGAAGGAACGAAATAGGAGCCTAAATTTCTTACAAAGCCTGTAATCCATAACCCATTTAAGTCACGAATTATGCCGCCAGCTCCTGCCTGGTTTGCTGGTCTAGAGACTGAACCATCAGTGTTGAGTTTGGCAAAACCTATAGCAAAGGGGATTCGAATTTTTCCTATCTAGGGGATTTGGAGATATGAGAACCAGGTCCTAGTAGGAAAAATTCATGGGCATAGTGGAGGCAAAACTTGACAAGATCAACACATTTTTTTTTTGAAAGATCTTGGCGTTGCGAGCCTGCCAAAAGATCCAACAACCAAAGCGAAAGATGGTTCTCCAAGGAATAAGGTTGTAAGGGGAAGGAATGGTGGAGAAGCATCCATCCTTGATCCAGGAATAGAAATCCGAGTTGGTCTGGAGACAGGTTCTAGAGGGTGTGGTGAGTTTAAGCCAAAAGGTGGTTGCTTGGGGACAAAGTCTTAGTACGTGATATGAATCTTCAGAAGGAGTGTCACAAAATGGGCAAGAGGCTTCGGAAAGAATTGTACGGTGGGTGAGAAGACTTTTTGTAGAAAGTCTATCCTGGGAGGCTAGCCAAAGGAAATGCTTGACTTTTGAAGAGGTATTAACTTTCCAGATCTAGCAAAAGGGGGATGGAGCTCTAGTATTGATTGGAAATAAGGGAGGGTTTTTGCAGAGATTATAAGCAGATTTTGAGTTGAAACCCCCATTGCCGAAGTGATTCCACCTAAAGAAATCATGGGAAGGATTGAGTTTGTATCTTGGTGTACCCTTGATTTCCTTCAAGAGCTAAAGGGGAAGCTGGAAGGAGATTCTATCTAGGTTCCAGCTGGTGAGGGAGTGAAAGAATTGAAAGACTCTTAAGTCCTCTTCCCATAACCTCCACCTTCACCTCCTCCACCATAACCACCTCCTGCTCCTGCACCGTCTTCTTTCTCATAGCCTCCACCAGCTTCACCTCCTTTAGCCCCTGCACCACCACCCATTCCATAGCCTTCTCCACCTTCACCTCCTCCACCATAACCACCCGCTGCTCCTGCACCGCCTCCTTTCTCATAGCCTCCACCAGCTTCACTGCCTCTCTTTCCATAGCCTCCTCCTCCGTAACCACCCCCTACTTCTGCACCGCCTCCATTCCCATAGCCTCTACCAGCTTCACCTCCTTTAGCACTTGCACCGCCACCCTTTTTGCAGCCTCCTCCTCCCTAGCCTCCTCCACCATAATCATCCTTGCTCCTGTACCGCCTCCTTTCCCATAGCCTCCACCAGCTTCACCTCCTACACCATAACCACCTCCACCTCCTACACTATCACCACTGCCATAATTGCCTCCTCCGCCAGCCCCAGTACCATGGTCTAAGCCAACTCCTACCGTGACACCACCTTATCCCTCATTGTAGCCACCTCCTTCAAAAGTGAGGAGTGATCGGCATTCACAACATATTTGCTATGCCCAACAAAACAAAGAAGACAAAACTCAAAACTTTGTGAGTAGCCATGATGATCAGAATGTTTCTGAATTGTGAGTGTCCTGGACACAAGAAATGGCAATTCTTTATAGGCCTAGGGTGACACTCAATCGAAAGAGGGTTTAAGTTTAGAAGCGCGTACGAGAAAAGGGAGTGGTTGAAATCACATGCATAAAGAGAGAGTTGGACGGACGTCCCTACAATGTGATTTTGCAATTTGCACAAACACTTATGTTTACCATCACTCTTAACTCTTATAGTAGCTATTTGCATGCTTATGTGTAGTGTGAATTTGCTGTCTCCCATAGAAATTCGAAGATTAAGATTGGCACAAAGATTTTTATTTATTTCTGAAATAGAGCAAAATATAACATCTAGACCGAACGTTTCTTATCCTGTACAAGTTAGAGTTAGCATTTCATCAAGCCATATTCTTCCACTACACTCAAGTTGAATCAGCAAGGACGAAGTTGACAAAATTTAACATAGCATTAATAATCTTATCCTGTACAAGTTAGAGTTAGCATTTCATCAAGCCATATTCTTCCACTACACTCAAGTTGAATCAGCAAGGACGAAGTTGACAAAATTTAACATAGCATTAATAATCTTACTGTTGGGTGGGTCAGCCCATTTGTGGGCCAACCCACATATGCACTAAGACTTGAGGGTTTTCTCAAGCTTAAAAAGGCAAGCAGCAGCCGCAGGTAGCAATCCTTTTTTCTTCGGTGCTTGTGCGAGAAAAGAAAAAGAGCCAGCCGGCATTTCTTTTGAAAGACACGAAGAGAGAGAAATAGCTAGAGAGAGAGAAACTTTGAAGCTTCAATTGGAAGGTGATTTGAAGTCCGATTGAGACGAAATTTTACACACGAGATCCTCTCATCAAGCTCTACTTATCTACTGATTCAGATTTTCGATTTCCTCTTCATTTGGTAACATCTTTCCAAACCCACTTCTTTGACAGTCGTAGTTTTGGGGAGGTGATTTTATAACAGATTTGCTTGGTTGATATTGGTGCTATTATTGTCATCTAAATATTTCAGATAAACCTATGTATTTCCATTATTGTGATAGTAGAGACTTTTTAACTGGACTAGGTCCCGTGATATTTTTCAATTTGGATTTTTCACGTAAAAATCTTGGTGTCCTGTGCCTTTTATTTTTCTTACATTTTATTATCACTGTTGGTATTATTACTTGGTGATTTGGCTTATTTTCATTTTAACTGGTACTTGAGGAAAGAGAAATTTATCCTGAGCTAATTCTGATATTGTGTGTCTATATTGGTACCCCTTTCCCAACAAGTGGTATCAGAACAGTCAGGTTAGGCTGCTCAATTGTACCTGTTAAAATGGATGATTCGGATAGTGGTTGCATGATAAAATTAAATGCTACTAATTATTCGATTTGGAAGCCTAGAATGGAAGACTACCTGTATTGTAGAGATTTATTTGAACCTGTTTTAGGGGATAAAGGCAAACCAAGTGATATGAGTGATGAAAAATGGGCCAATATGCACAGAAAAACTGTTGATAATATTAGAAAATGGATTGGTTAAAGTATTTTTCAACATTTTGCTAATGACACCAGAGCTGATATATTATGGAAAAACCTTGAGAGTATGTACGAAAGAAAAACATATTTGAACAAGACTAGTTGTCTGAAGCAGATTACTCGAATGAGATATAAGGATGGGGAAGATATGACTGAACACTTGAGTAATTTTTAGGGATTAATAAACTAGGCAATTACATTAAATTTGAACTTGGATGATGAAGTGCAGGCTTTATTATTATTCAGTTCACTACCGGATAGTTGGGAAACCATGGTGGTCTCTATCAGCAATTCAGCTCCAAATAGTGTGTTGACCATGGCTATTGCAAAAGAGGCCGTGATGAATGAAGAGTTCAGGAGAAAGGAACAAGGAATTGTCTATGAGTCCCAGACCCTGGTGACAGAAAAGAAAGAATGAAGAGGGAGAAGTAAAAGTAGAGGACCCCACAACCGGAATGACAAATCCAGAGGCAAGTCTGAGTCGCGAAAAAATGTTGCATGCTATTATTGTAAAAAGAATGGACATTATATGAAGGAGTGCAGAATCTTAAAACGGGATCAGGTTGAGAAAAAGGGAAAGACGAAACAAAAATGTGATGAATAGACTACAACATTGTGGCAGCTCATGATGATATGTTTGTGTTCTGTGATGATGGTCAGGTGAATATTATTCATTATGACAGTGATTGGGTAGTTGATTCAGGTGCATCCTACCATGTTACTCCTCACAGATAATTCTTCTCAACCTACACCGAAAGAGATTTCGGATGTGTTAGGATGGGAAATGAAGTCTCATGCAAAGTTGTTGGCATAGGAGACATATATTTGGATACAGATACCGGGTGCCAGCTGATATTAAAAAATGCTCGACATGTCCCTGATATTCGCCTTAATCTTATCTCTACAGGAAAACATGACGATGAGGGTTACCATAGTTTGCAAGATGGAGGCAAATGAAAACTCAGCAAAGGAAATCTCGTTGTTGCGAGAGAAAAGAAGCAGAGTACTCTCTACGTGATGCAAGCCAAGTTAAGGAAGGGAGAAGTGAACGCAGTTCGTGATTCCTCAATTGACCTTTGGCATAGGCGACTTGGACACATAGATGAAAAGGGGATTCAGACACTTGTTCGCAAACAGCTCCTACCTGAAGTTAGAGGTAATGCACTTAAATATTGTGTTGACTGCATTTATGGAAAACAACACAGAGTTGTATTTCAAAATTTTCTTCCATCTAGAAAATTGAATCCTTTAGAATTGGTGCACACTAATGTCTGCTATATGAAAGATAAGTCTGTTGGTGGTGCTGTTTATTTTGTAACCTTTATTGATGACTTTGCTAGAAAGGTTTGGTGTTTTGCTTTCAAATCCAAAGATCAGGTTTTGGACGTGTTTAAAGACTTTCATAGCAAAATTGAAAGAGAAACTGGTAAGCAATTAAAGTGTGTACGTGCTGATAATGGTGGTGAGTACAGAGGACCTTTTGAAATCTATTGCAAGTCCAATGGGATTAGATTGGAGAATATTGTGCCAAAAACTCCTCAAGAGAATGGAGTAGCAGAGAGGATGAACAGATCCATCACTGAGTGAGTCAGATGTATGTTTTCTAATGCTAAACTACCAAAATCCTTTGGGGTGAGGCAATAAGGACTGCAGTCAATTTGATAAATCTTTCTCCATCAGTTCCTCTAGATGGTGATATCCCAGAGAGGGTATGGACGGGAAAAGATGTGTCTTTTAAGCACTTAAGAGTTTTTGGTTGTCGGGCATTTGTTCATATCCCCAAAGATGAAAGGTCAAAACTTGATGTAAAATCAAAACAGTGCATTTTCTTGGGTTATGGACATGAAAATTTTGGTTATAGGCTGTATGATCCTGTTGAAAAGAAGGTAATCAGGAGCAGAGATGTTGTCTTCTTTGAAGATCAAACCATTGAAGACATTGATAAAGGTGATAATTCAAAATTCTCAGATGACATTCCTACTAGCTCAAATTCAGATCCAAATCCAATTCCAGTACCTGTTGATTTAATCAAGGGAGAGCTGAGACGGAGCAGAGAGAGAAAATTAATGATGGTGATAATTCTATTGCTGATGAACCTGAGCATGAGGTGCCACCACCACCACCACCACCACCACCACCACCACAAGAAGAGCTGAGAAGATCTACCAGAGAGAGGAGACCTTCTAACAGGTATAATCCTCATGAATATTTGTTGTTAACAGATGGAGGAGAGCCAGAGTCCTACAGTGAGGCTCTAGGGCATGAGAATAAAGAAGACTGGTTGCGAGCCATGCAAGAGGAGATGGTGTCCCTACATGAGAATCATACTTATGACTTAGTGAAATTGCCTAAGGGTAAGAGAGTTCTGAAGAACAAATGGGTTTACAGGTTGAAAACTCAGGAGCACACTTCACAACCAAAGTATAAAGCAAGATTGGTTGTGAAGGGATTCAGTCAAAAGAAAGGTATAGATTTTGAAGAAATCTTCTCTCCTGTGGTAAAAATGTCATCAATTCGAGTTGTTCTTGGTATTGCGGCCAGTTTAAATTTAGAGATCGAACAACTTGATGTGAAGACAGTCTTTCTGCATGGCGACTTGGAAGAGGAGATCTACATGGAGCAACCGGAGGGGTTCAAAGAAAGTGGTAAGGAAAATCTTGTATGTCGTCTCAAGAAGAGCTTGTATGGGTTGAAACAGGCACCGAGACAGTGGTATAAAAAGTTTGACTCCTTCATGACAGACCATGGGTACCACAGGACTACATCTGATCACTGTGTTTACATGAAAAACTTTTCAGATGGTGATTTTGTTATTCTCTTGCTATATGTTGATGATATGTTGATTGTTGGTCGTGATACTGTGAAGATTGGCAGGTTGAAAAGGGAGTTAAGTAAATCCTTTGCAATGAAGGATTTGGGTCCGGTTAGACAGATACTGGGGATGAAAATCTCACGTGACAAGCAAAATGGGAAGCTCTGGTTGTCTCAAGAAAAATACATTGAGAAAGTACTCAACAGGTTTAACATGAGCAAGGCTAAGGAAGTCTCAACTCCACTTACAGGGCACTTTAAACTGAATATCAAGCAGTGTCCTATAAGTGAGAAAGATAAAGAAGACATGAAAAAGGTTCCTTATGCTTTAGCCATTGATAGCTTGATGTACGCTATGGTTTGCACCAGGCCAGATATTGCTCATGCAGTTGGAGTGGTCAGTCGGTATCTTTCTAATCCTGGTAAGGAGCATTGGAATGCTGTCAAATGGATTCTCAGGTATCTCAAGGGAACTTCTAGATTATGTTTATGTTTCGGCAATGGTAAAACCATGCTAGATGGATACACTGATGCAGATATGGCAGTTGATCTTGATAATAGGATGTCCACATCTGGGTACTTGATGATTTTTGCAGGGGGAGCAGTGTCATGGCAAAATAAGTTACAGAAATGTATTGCCCTTTCTAGTACGGAGGCAGGGTATATTGCAACCACTGAAGCATGTAAGGAGACTCTTTGGTTGCAGAAATTCCTTCAGGAGTTGGGTATGAAACAAGACAAGTATAGTCTTTACTGTGACAGTCAGAGCGCTATTCATTTGTGTAAGAACTCTACATTTCACTCTCGATCCAAACACATTGATGTGAGGTATCATTGGATTCGGGAAGTACTGGATTCCAAGTTGTTGACGCTTGAGAAGGTGCACATAGATGATAATGGTGCTGACATGTTTACTAAAACATTGCCTAAGGAGAAACTCTTGTTTTGCAGACAAGAAAAAGGTTTGATGGAACCCCCCAAATGAGCTGGAGGGGGAAATTGTTGGGTGGGCCAGCCCATTTGTGGGCCAACCCACATATGCACTAAGACTTGAGGGTTTTCTCAAGCTTAAAAAGGCAAGCAGCAGCCGCAGGTAGCAATCCTTTTTTCTTCGGTGCTTGTGCGAGAAAAGAAAAAGAGCCAGCCGGCATTTCTTTTGAAAGACACGAAGAGAGAGAAATAGCTAGAGAGAGAGAAACTTTGAAGCTTCAATTGGAAGGTGATTTGAAGTCCGATTGAGACGAAATTTTACACACGAGATCCTCTCATCAAGCTCTACTTATCTACTGATTCAGATTTTCGATTTCCTCTTCATTTGGTAACATCTTTCCAAACCCACTTCTTTGACAGTCGTAGTTTTGGGGAGGTGATTTTATAACAGATTTGCTTGGTTGATATTGGTGCTATTATTGTCATCTAAATATTTCAGATAAACCTATGTATTTCCATTATTGTGATAGTAGAGACTTTTTAATTGGACTAGGTCCCGTGATATTTTTCAATTTGGATTTTTCACGTAAAAATCTTGGTGTCCTGTGCCTTTTATTTTTCTTACATTTTATTATCACTGTTGGTATTATTACTTGGTGATTTGGCTTATTTTCATTTTAACTGGTACTTGAGGAAAGAGAAATTTATCCTGAGCTAATTCTGATATTGTGTGTCTATATTGGTACCCCTTTCCCAACAACAAGTTTATGATATCTTATTCATGATAATCAGTCGGGGAATAAACAAACTTTTTTTTTCCATTCGAAAGAATGTGCAGGCGTCAGCAGAAAATTCTATTTTCAGATAATTGTGGTCGCGTAGAAAAAAGGTTTTAGGGTGTCGTCAAACTGTGAATCGCTTAACCAACACCCTTTAGAGGAGTTGGCTACCATATTAATTGTGGAATAGGAGGTCAAGGATTCAAATCTTGCCTTCCATCAATATGCTTTTATACGAGACTTGTTCTAAATCCATACAGGTAAGTGGTGCATCTATTTACTTTGATGGTGGTTCAGTTCTCATCTAATATATATCTTCTTTTATATAAATGGACCACCAGTCCTGAATTTGACGTTAAAATATTCTATCATCATTTGTTTTCTTCTTATATATAATCCACGTTTCCTGGATTTGGTGTTAAAAAAATTCTGTCATTATTAATTACCTCAATTTTACCCTTGCATGATAGAAAAAACTACACAATCATCCCATCACTCTACTTACCAACACTTCCAGCTACTTTCAGTAACTTCTTTTTCTTTTAATTTTTTTGAACTAATAACTACTAAGTACTTTTTTTCATTACATAATAGTTTTACCTTTTCTTCTTTTTTAAATTTGCACACCTATAAGGTGTGGTTTTTCCACTAGTCTTTCTGCACGAGTACAGGATTTGGCGTTAAATAATTCTGCCATTATTAATTTGTTACCCATATTTTATCCTTATACAATGGAGTGATGTGCAACCATCTCTTATTCCATAAAAGGCCAAGCTTAGGCTTGCAATTTCTACGAATATAGGAGTAATTTACTTATCTAACTCTTCGAGGGCAGACCTTCTACTTCAAATAACTTCGTCTTTTTAAAAAAATTTTTTTTTTCTTTGTACTCATAACTTCGACCTTTTAATTATAGAAAAGTTCGCCCATTTTTCTAATTTGTGTACCCACTAATTGTTGTACGGGGGAAAGATGGTTTGATGTAACATATTTGATTGGTTTATGTTCTAGCTAAATTACCCTTAATAAACTATCCATTAGTAATGCCTCAGCTCATCTCTCCCCTCAAAAATTCCAACAGTGTAAAAAGTAATTTTAATAACATAAACATGTAATTACATATTTGCTTTAACATGTACTTTTTTTCTCAATTTATTTGATAAATCTTGAATTTTCTTAGAACTACCAATCATGATTAAAGGTAACTATTATTTGTTATGGTTACATAGTTTATTATGGTTAATTTTTTTAGCCAACTTAATGGTTTTAACAAATATATTCAACAAAATTCTATAATTTTTTTACAAAATTATATTAAAAATTCTATATTTTTAAAAGTAATTTCACACATATCGAGGGTGTCTTGAACACTAGTTTATATAATCTATGGTCAAAAGATCAACAAAATTAATGAATAGATTCTTAAAAATTGCACTCTGCCCCCGTAAGATTTTACAAATGTAGTTATATTTTCACCCTAGATACACACGTATCCAAGTCTTTTTTCCTTTGGATTCACCCTTTAACAACTCCGAATAGTTGGTCAGATATGGTAACAAATCAAACTCGTTGGTTCGTCGCAAAGTACCAGAACTTTAATCCTTGAGACACAAGGTTGTATTAGTAAGCTTTTACAGCAAAAGGTTGTATTAATTAGGAAGCCACCTTGTTTGGGTAAAAGTTTGGATATAGAACCTTAGCCCAAAATTTGTATTGTATACTTTGAGATTCGACATTCTCAAATACTGTAATCTAACAAATAACTAAATATAAAAGGCAAATCTTAAGTATGTCAACTTTGCTACTGTTTGAGTTTCTAATTGCGAACATGATTTTCAAATTCGCAAGGCCAATTTTTAGTGACGAAGTTACAGCCAATATCTTCCTTACTTGACTTCTTCTACAAAGAGCATGTTAACTAACTCCTTCACACTAATCTACTCCTATAAGTAGAAGGATTATTACTAAATAAGTTTACTCATACGTGCAACCTAAATAGTGAAACGCTTCACTTATAATTGATTGATCATGGTTTCCAGTTATCAAAAGAGTTAGCAAAGAAATTACTATTGATCTCTTCTTTTTTTTTTTTTAAAAAAAAAGTCATATCGAGTTCAGAGACATTCAATTTCACAGAGATTTTGCCAACAATCGCAAATTTATGTTGCATTAGGTACTACAACTTATGGGGTCTAAATTTCTCACGGCTGTAATGATTGCTTTCTGAAATAATCACCTATGTTACAGTTATTATTTCAAATAATCACCTATTCAACATGTAAAATTGAAAAGATATGATGTTAACGAGGAGGAAGAAGAAAGGTTTGGTGTAGAGATGGATACACAAAATCCTTTAGGTCATATGTTTATGTGCAACACCTCATTGTTCACATAATCTCCTTGTCATTTGTCACTGTATCGACAATCTTTAACACACATTCACCATATATGTTGTATTACATATATGTTTATTTGCCATGCTTCATGAAAGTGAAATGTGTATATATATCCAAGTTCAACTTCTTGAGTTATACCGGGTAATTAATCAGCAAACATAAGAGAGAAGATGTACTAGATTAAACAAGGGGTACTTATTTTTATTATTGTTATTTTTTTGGAAACATGAACAAGGGATACATATTTAAAATGAAGTGCGGTTACATTCAGCAGCCAAGGGAACAGCTGAATAACCAAAACACTTAAAACTCTTCAGAGCTGAAATCCATGAAAGTCTGAATTAAACTGGCAAATAAGCAGATGCTTAGATAATACTTATTGTTGGGAAGCACCCTAACAAAACGTAGATATAAAATGCACGCATTGCTTCTCAACGTGCATGTCCACCACCATAGCCTGAACCACCACCAGCGCCACCTCCATAGCCACCACCAGCTCCACCTCCATAGCCACCTCCGTATCCACCACCTGCTCCTCCACCACTGCCATATCCACCTCCACTAGCTCCTCCTCCTCCATAACCTCCTCCAGCACCTCCTCCATGTCCACCTCCAGCTCCATATCCACCACCAGCTCCATAACCGCCTCCCTTACCACCTCCTTCACCTCCACCATAACCTCCACCAGTACCACCACCGGCTCCACCACCATATCCACCTCCACCACCTACACCACCCCCCTTCCCATAGCCTCCACCACCCTCACCTCCTCCACCGTAACCACCTCCGGCTCCAGCACCGCCACCCTTCCCATAGCCTCCACCTTCACCACCTCCGGCTCCAGCACCGCCACCCTTTCCATAGCCTCCTCCACCTTCACCTCCTCCACCATAACCACCCCCTGCTCCTGCACCGCCACCCTTTCCATAACCACCTCCACCTCCAGCACCACCTCCCTTTCCATAGCCACCTCCTCCCTCACCTCCCCCACCATAACCACCCCCAGCTCCTGCACCGCCACCTTTTCCATAGCCTCCTCCACCATAACCACCTCCGGCTCCTGCACCTCCACCGCTTCCATAGCCTCCTCCACCGTAACCACCCCCGGCGCCTTCACCGCCACCGTGGCCATAACCAGCTCCACCACCAGCTCCATAACCACCACCAATACCATGGCCAAAGCCACCCCCTCCTGTAACACCACCCGAACCTTCGTTGTAGCCTCCTCCTCCAAAAGTGAGGAGTGATCTGCATTCACAACATATTGTTATGCCCAATAAAACAAAGAAGACAAAACTGAGAACTTTGTGAGTTGCCATGATGTTTAGAATGTTTCTGACTTGTGAGTGCACTGAATCCAAGAAACGACAGCTATTTATAGGGATGATACCCAAATGAAGTAGGGTTTAAGTTTAAAAGTGTCGGAAAAGGGAGTGGTTGAAATCACATGCATGCATAAACAAAATTTAATTTACGCCACGTCCCCACGATGTGATTTTGCAATTTGCAGAAACACACACCCAAGTTTACCATCACTCTCAATTTTTGCTGTCTCCCATAGAGCTTGGAAGATTAAGATTGGTACACAGGTTTTTGATGGATTTCTGAAACAAAAGAAAAATTCCAGTCCTAACGTTTCGCTATCCTGTACCAGTTAGTCTTAACTCTTGACGAAGTCCATATTTTTTTCCATTTCACTCACCAATGACAACATTGACAAACATAGGTGTGATAAGTATAGGATTTCTAATTAATCTTTGAAGCGTATGATATCATAATGTACATGATGCGTCGGTGAATAAACAAACTTGATTTATTTCCCACTTGAAAGAATGTCCGGGACCCTGGTGACGGACAGACAGTTAAATCTCTTGTTGGAGGAAATAGTAATCAAGTCTTAGCCAAAAATCTTGTCATGAGATTTTTGTATCTCCTAATATTTGTTCTATGTCTATGGTCCTTAACTGTTGGAGAATTGTGGATAGCACCAAATAATATTACATTCAGTACTATTGGAAATGAAAACGGATTCCAAGCCCCAAAAGGTCAATGCAAGCAAATCGATAGGATCCAATTTCAAGCATAAATAAAATGGTATTGCATAGGGGAAACTTGTTGACATTTCCACATGCGATATCCAATCAACAAACTAGTAAAAGGGCCCAAGTGACTTGACTTGTTAGACTAAAACATCGATATTTTAGTCGAAATGAGGAAAAATTTTCCAAGCTGAAAGTAACAAGAAGGAACTTGGATGTGATTTGTTGGCTTTTCGTTTCTTTATTTTGTTACACGTACAGTTCTCCTTTGCATCATGCTTTTGACTTACTTCATGCAGGCAAATCTCGAAAATTATTATTTATTAAGTGATGCATAAAATATTTACAGAAAGTTTGCGCTTAGCTAGTATTCTTCTTAATTTCCTCCGGATCATAGGTAGTTTTTGTTAATACCACAACCTAAAATTACAAGAAACCTGTATAACTATGGGTAACAACCGAGCAGCTTTGCCTGCCACTAAGTTAAAAAATATACTATTTCGATTGATTTGTGGACCACTGTTTGTTGAAGTGTGTACATGCTATTAAGTTAGGATTTAATCTTTTAGAAGACATTGCATTTTCAATTCTTTTTTTTTTTTTATCAGAATCGAAGTATGAACTTTTACCTTCTAAATCTTTGAACTACAAAATGAATTTTAAAAATTGAGAACGTGACAGATTATGTACTTATCATGTTAAAAGTTTGGCAAAGACCCTTTGAAAATTTTTATTTTCCTTGGCCAAAAAATTTGAATTTCGTGCTTTGAGATTCAACATTCTCATATAAAGTAATTTATTAAAAAACTAAATACTATTACAATAACTGAAAAAAAAAAAAAAATCAATTTTGCTACTACTTTGAGTTTCTAATCGCGAACATGAGCTCCAATTTCTGATTAAAGAAGTTACGCCAATATCTTCCTTACCTGTCTTCTTCTAGAAAGTGTGTGTTAACTAAATCATCAAATCTTCTTCTCTTTTCTTCAAGTCAATACAGAATCTGTCAGCTCATCTTAACATCTGAAAAATTACTTGCTTCATTTGTCGGTTATTGGGGACAGCTAATTGGATATTAGTTGTATTAGTTAATTTTCTAATTTATCAAGGAGAACACGGATTTCACTTTCTCGCATTAGTCCCAGAACCAGGCGAATTGGATCATTGAATATATAAAAATGCTACAAAGTTGACTGATTCCTAACAGTCTCTCAGAAAATTCTACACCGCATGCAGTCCTGTATCCTGTACTCCAATGAAGTGGAGTTAGTGGACTTGACTTTAGGTACATGGCAAACTACTAAAGGCAAACTTGTTTTTTGTAGATAACTCTTAAATTTTGCCAATTTTGTCAAATTTAAACCACTCTATTGCCTCTTGGACGAAATCCATATCAAAATTTGTTTATAGTGATGAACGGAAAAGCATAAAGGTGGTCTGGTGAGATCACACCATAGCAAATCGTTATACAATGTGCGATTAATACTTTATGTACTTCCAAATTGAAAAAAAAATTCACGTTGCAAGTCGAGACTCACAACATATAATTGTTATCCGCTTTAAAAATGCCCTCTTAACACATAATCTTACCATATATAAAGCTAAAGGGAGGGTTTTGGTGTGAATGAATTGTATCATTTACTGTATTGCTTAATTTACCCTTATTTATAGAAAAAAAAAATTACACCATTTTTGCTGCACACCTCCCTACAATCACTAACTGCACGTGTTGAATTAACTATCACTTCCTCTAAGAAAAATTATCATTTTCCTAAAAATACTAAAACAGTTGAACTCTTTTAATCTAATACTTTCTGACAAAAATAGGTTAAAATTTTAATATTTTTTGTATTAGTTGCACACACATCAGGTGTGCGTCAAGTACTAGTTTTTATATTATCAATGTAAAAAATTTAATCCCAATATGTGATCTCAAAATTTCCTAAAGAGATTTCTTTTATTAAAGGCGGGAGAAGGATGAGTTGGATGATACGAGAAGAGACGCTGAGAAGTTGACCTCCCATCTACGCACACAAAAAAAAAAGGCTTCTTTTGTTAGGAAAAAAAATCAGCATAGACAATGGGGTCTTGTAATTTTTGTCTTGACCACGTGATTGTGGGCTAGAACTAGAATTCGATGCCCAAAGCTGGCCTCTCGACGACAAGTCGTGACCCAAATTGCTGCAGATTGGCCTACGAAGTTGTATTGATGAGAGCAATTTTTTTTCATTACCTCAGACTGCATACAAAAACTTTAGGAAACTCAAGCCCAGAGCCGGAATTCTATTTGAATTATGAGTATGAGTCTCTAATTCATATGGGAAAATAAAATCACTTAAACTTTTTTACCACCAAAAAAAAAAAAAGAAACAGGCAACTAATTCGGTGTAAAAGATACAAGTTTTATACAATATGGGTAAAGGAGATATCATCATGGAATCCTTAATGGATTAATAAAGGTTACTACTTGTATAAAAAAATCATACTTAGGGTGTATTTGATAAAAAAGAAGTTTGAAAATTGAAATTTGAATTTGTTAAGTAATTGAATTGTTAAGTACTAAATCTGATACATTTGAGTGTATATCACATTAAGTGATAAGTGAATAATTTATCGCTTATTTTTTGGAGCAAGTTTTGTTTAGAAAATTCAATACCACTTAATTAATTCAGATATAAAATTTTTTATTATCAAACGCATATGAGTATGTTAAGATATGAATCGATTAAGTTTAGGTGTTGAATTGAATATCAAATGATGTCTTAGCAATCAAATGCACCATTAAAAATATTGAAATAAGAAATTTTTGTACTACAATAAGTTTCCGAAATGAGTATAATGACTAGCCAAGTGAGAATGGAAATTGTAACCCAACAAAAAATTGAGAATGGAAATTAAAAAAGAAAAACCTAGAATGGAAATGCACAACTTTTTTTTTCCTTTTTTTGCTTTTCAAAGTGTGATATCAAAATAAGCTTAATTCTTCTAACATATAACCCTATTAGCTTTCAAAATATAAGGTGTACTACCAAATTGATTATTGTTATACAACAACTTTGGTCTGTGTTAAAATAACTCTTTAGAAGGCACCACAGTTTGGTTTCCTTACTTAAATAGGAGTCAATTAGCCAGGATTCATTGGCCTAATATTATACCCTTTTTATCAAATTCTGGATGGGGCGCAAGCTAAGATTATATATAGGGAGTTTTTGAGTATGCATTCAACCAAATATTATCCCCTTTGCCTTGCATATATATGCGGAGTGAGTCTAGAAATGGCTAGTTACTTGGGCTAGATTTTGTTGATTTGAACACCAAGGCATAGAGCTGCTCGATCTTTAACGCCGCGCCCTAGTATACCTTGTGCTCCTTCCTCTCTTTTCTGACCACAATCGTCAGTCGGTCAGCGCAACGGATCTTCTGTCCCACACCCTGTGCCACTCTCTGTCCCACTTTTTATTATATTGCTATTTCTCATTCATAAACATCATGTTTTAATTCTTTTTTTGCTTCCTTAAGATCCAATAACTATTAATTGAGTAATACACAAAATTTAACAAACTAAAAAAATCAAAATGCATAAAAATGAGATTTTTTATGAATTTTTTGCTGTATTTTTTAATTTTCTATTATATATTGCTTTTTTGAAGCTGTTATATTTATTTTTTACTTAATTAATAGTTATTGGATCTTAAGGAAGCAAAAAAGAATTAAAACATGATGTTTATGAATGAGAAATAGCAATATAATAAAAAGTGGGACAGAGAGTGGCACAGGGTGTGGGACAGAAGATCCGTTGCGGTCAGTCATCTACCAATTTCCCTTTTTCTTTGTGCTAAATCCCTGGTTTTATTCTGCAGTAATTGACAACAGAACATTGATATTCCTTTGGATTAATCAGTTGACTGGAGAATGGCTGATCCTTGTACGTGCTTCTTGGCTTATTTGATGACAACTGAAACTGGATCTGGTTTCGAGTCATTCAGCAGTTTGGCTAAAGACGTACATATTTACTAAAATGTAGCCATTAGGAGGGTTTTTGCGTGCAAAATTTTAGCAAAAGTATATTAGCCGTGGTGATTGTGGCCATGCATGCAACGTAGAAATAAGTAAGCGGATAATCTACATATATACATGCTAATCATTTAGTCATAAATAAGTGGAACACAATTATTAATCTTAATTTAGTCATTAATTGAAAGAAGAAGAATACAAAATAACGCTGTTCTTGATGGCGTCGCGTACAATATCATAGTTGCTTTCATGCAAATACACAATTTAGGCAATCATTTTATCATAGCATGCATTAAAATTACTTAACAAGTGCGTAAAAGAGATTATTGTTTTTGATGCTTGAGCAGATTAGACTCATGAGAGTGTGTTTGTTTACTCTCAACTCTCAAGGGGCATAGCCACCGTGTCCGCCACCTTCTCCGCCCCCTGCTCCTCCTCCGTACCCTCCTGCATGTTCACCTCCTGCAGCATAGCCGCCTCCACCACCAGCACCACCTCCTTCACCGCC